GAAGCGTGTGCAATTGAGATGCAAGTGTAAATTATGGGTTACTGGAGAGATAGGAATCACGACCGTATGAGATCCAAAAATAAACCGATATCTGTTTACGGTTATGCAAATCGAACCAATGGCCTTCTTAACAATGAATCGACGAACCCTAAACCAGTAACCTTGTTTAAGTACAGGTCCATGCAGAGCAATTTCATCGGGCATGACAGTTGCGGCGATACGATGACCCTAAGATTGATTTCGCATAAGATCAAGTGTAAAAATCCAAAAGAAAAATTGCTTTTAAAAAAAACCCTATGAAATATATAAAGAAATAACAACTACATAATGAAATACCTGATCGTCTGCGAGAATCATCTCGATTGTATCACCAAAGAAATTTACATTCTTCCAGAGTCGAATAACTTGCACACGAACTTCAGATATCAACAACATCAGACATTTTTTTTTTATCTGTCAAGAACACAAAAGGAAAAGTAAAAAAAAAAAAAAGGAAAGAGAACACATATATATACGCGTTACATTCTAGACAGTTATTTCCTTTTTCAACCCAATAAATTTATGGAAACATACAACATTGAATATGTATTATTAAAATAAAGATAAATTTATTTATAGGTTTTATTTTAAATGACAACAATTGTCTGTCAAAGGCGTCTTTTCATCCGTTAATATATTTTTTGAGACATTAGCAGCATGCAATATGAGAGAATAAAATCTGATTGCATCTAGTGTACTAAGCATACACGCAAGCGAAATACGCGAGCATACCGAGTCAAAAATAATCAAAAAATATAATAGTTTTTTCAGTATACAATCATCACACCAAGCTAATGAACGTAATTTTCCTGGACAATGTTTTTATAAAGCCAAAGAAACAGTTGGGGAGAAGAGTTACTTTGTTGTTTATTTTTAACAATGTATATGAGAAAATGGAGATATATATAACATCCAAATGAGAATAAATTATTATTTATTAATAATCGCAAAACAGTCTTGTAAATACATAAAAAAGTGTCTAACAAAACTAATAATATATATGGATTATCGATTTTGAATCATTCCAATCGGCCCAAACCATTAGACATCATCTGTATCCAGCCCATATAATCTCTCTCTAATCCTGAAATTTCAATAACAAAATCATGTAGATCTAAATATATGAAATTTTTTTTTTCATAAGTCAATTTAAACAACACATCGAAACATACTTACCTATTGCGCAAGGTTAAAACTTCATCAATAGGTGAATCAGTGATAAAACGGGATACACCATCATCATCATGATCCTTGATAGACACATTTTCTAAAACATATATATTGGAATATTGTTATGTTATATACAATGATTTTATAAATAACATATTGATGTATCATCAGAGAACATACCCCCATCAATTGCTACACACCAATCGGTTAACACACATATAGCAAAGGGACCTTCGTATTCTCTAGACTTATCTCTTATTTCAGTTGCCAACTCACCATGTGCAAAACACTCTAGCATATACTCCCTATATTTTGACAAAGAATGTAGTTAATAATTAATTAGTTAAACTTCTAAAACCTACAATTTGAGATATACTTACTCATCATCTATTATATTAAATCGAATTGATGATGTAGTCGTTCCATCCGGGTATGTAATAGTAAAATATCTAGCATCTTCAACGACTCCAATCAAATCTACGATTGTAATTAGTCAAAATAAAGACATTAGTGCGAACTATAGATTTTGCATTATAATAAGATACCAAAATATTCTTACCAATTAGATAATAATGAGCATCTGGGAATTCATAAATCGAGAGGAATGATGCAAAATTATAGAACGAATTATTTGTTAATGGTAAAGCTGGTGAGATCGTTGTTCCCTGTGTCAGTGTAATAATGTAATCGTGTTTTGTAATACTTTGGATATTAGTCCAGTTGTAAGGATTCAAAAGAAATCCAGTCAACATAAACCATCGATCTTCTTTGCATATTTGATTAAAATGCTCCATCATCTGATTGTTTACCCGAGCCTGAATTCTACAACCCTAGAAGTTTATACGATAACATTAGATCAACAAAAGAACAAATTAGTGTATGTTAAAACAATAAGCATAACCAATAATAAATATCACAAATAGCATTTTAAGTTAATGAAATTTACTCTTTCATCGACCAGAATGAAATTTAGACTTCGATTATCGTCCGAGTAATCCACCACCCATTTTTTGAGTATTTTCACTATAATTCGCCAGTCAGATCTTTGAGAGTCCAATTGACGAACAAAATCATAATCCGCCATTGCGTGATGCCTATCGTTTAGGGTTATGCAATTTAATCATATCAACGTTTATTGATAAGAAAAAATGTTTATATTAATCTATAACCAAAAATTAAGAATATTAACATTTCAGGATAGATATAGATAAGGAAACAATACTATCTTCGAATAAAATAAATAGATATATATATATATATATATTTATATATTGAGATTTTCTATTTTAAATTATTGAGATTTTACTATTTTAAATTATGTTAATATTCCATTTCTCATTGTTACCAATTCGTAAGATAGTTTACTATAAAACCATCTATATATTTTAAATGAAATTTTATTGCAATGAAAATTTACATTAGCTAAATCATAAAATCTGCATATATATATATATATATTTTAAAGACGGTGACTTGTTATCGTGTTCAAGAACGCGTAAATTCAACCAAGTAATGATTTCTTTAGTGAATAAACAAAAACAACTGTTTCTATATCCTTATTTTTTCTTTCATAGATGATACAAAATCGTATTATTTATAGAACATAGTGTTTAGTAGAACATGATAAAATCAATAACCAAAAACCATTAAAAAAACGATAATAAAGATAATAATACAAATATAATCTAATTGGTAAGAATATTTTGGTATCTTCTTATAATGCAAAATTTATATCAGACAAAACCATCTCGATAGTATTTCCGAAGAATTTTGAATGCTTCCAGAGTCTGACAACCTTGACAGATATTAACCACCCTGTTTTGTAAGTATCCAAACATACAACATCGACAACATCAGACATTTTAGAAACTTTTTTTTTATTCTTTTTGATGGAGAAATCTGAATAAATTTTATAAAGAGGAAAACTAAAAGTGATGTAGTATGAGAAAGTGTGTTAAATATGAAAAGGAGAGACTATGCAGTTGAATAGGCAGTTATTCTTTCTTATAAATTTATTTTCGTTTGAATTATTTTAAAAGAAAAAATTTGAACAGTTACCATTTAAAGCTCCTTACTGTCAAAACCAACAACAATCCACTAATTTATGTCAAAACACTTCCATATTGATATTGACCGATTTGTTCGTTTCACGTGTCAGAGAGAATATATTCCATGTTTTAAGTTTCACGAAATATACACGCAATCTCAATAAGTAAATATACTATTTTACTAAATATAAACTTTTGCTAAATTGCAACACTTTCCATAAAATAATATGATCTCTCTCTATAGCTTATGTTATTTGGACAATTTTATGTTTCAATATTTTAGGAAATGATATATTCATACAACATAATAACAAAAATGTCATTTATGTAGACTTATATGTTATAACTTTATGTATCTACTTGAGCAATTTTCCTTAAAATTTTATGAAACAGAAAACCTGGAAAGTCAAACGGTTAGTTGCAAACATAAAGTCGAATAATCTTCCCCATAAAAAATTGAAAAATGTGAAAATTGATTATTATTGCACACTTTATAAATACTGACTTGAGGGTTTCTTTTCAAAAAACTTTAAAATATTTTATAAGTAGCATTATCGTTTTCGAGAGAATTCATAAGAACATGGCGAATACAAACGAAAAAAAATTCGATGAAAATGGCTTGTTGATCATCAATCCCCCACCATTGGTAATGAGATTCGGTGTCGTGGAACCAAAGTCACCACCTTCACCAACAGATTCCGAGATAGAGCAAGAAGAATTATGGGAACAATTACATTTATTCACCGCATCAAATCAGAAAGCCAAACAGAACACTCCTCAGGTAATACATCCTATTCACTAAAGTTTGTTTTAATCATGTCTTACACAATGAATTTTAAAATCTGTATATTCTACTTATGGAGGACGACAAAGGCAACACATCTAATGAGACATCCCAATCAAGTTGCACAAAACGAAAACACGACCTGATTCCAGATCTGGAGATAGGGTTGAAGTGCATGCGTTGCGGTTTTGTGGAGACAGAAATTCGACACATGGATACCGCCGAATGGGTACGTGATCAGAAATATACTTAGATCTAAATTATGAAAAGTTGTCTAAAATCTATGTCATTGAGTCATTATAGTTTGTTATAAATTGCCCATTGAACTCTATGTTCTAGAAACAATTCATGTTTAAATATGATATTGAGTTAGTTCAAAGCTATATAATTTTACAAAAATCTAAATCGGATTGTTTGTGTCTGTGTTTAAAGGGAAAGGAGAAGAAACGTAAAAAGAGGAGGTCTGGAGTTTAATCAAGAACAATATCAGTTTCAAACCAATTTCATGTTTTTTTTTCCTGTTTGCAATGATCACTTTAAAGACAATATGTACTTGGTTTTATTTTCTAAAAACTATTAAGTTTATTTCGATGACATGATAATTTGGTTTTGAAGCAATCTCGATATTTACAACTACGTGACAATGTTCATCATATGACATGTCAATAGATGCCCAATAATATGCTACAGTTAAAGTTTGGTTAAAATATGTTATCGAATAGAGTTTGTCATTGGAATATCCGACTACAGTTAAAAATCAGAGATCAAACCATTAATACATCAGATCGAACTTAGTGAAAAATCGAAAAGCATTAAATCTATTAAAAACTATAAAACCGAACGTAATAGTCTCATACAAAAAAACCGAACGTAATGGTCTTATACAATAAAAATAACTAACATATTTCGAGATACATGTAGACAACATATCACAAAACAAAACACAGTAAAAAGAAATATCATATCTTGTCAAAAACCTCCTTGTAGACGACATTCAATGTTATGTTTTGTGGTTTGTTGTCTTTATCGGTGATCAATATCTTCAAACCTTCTCTTGATGTAACCCTCGATACAGCGACATAGAGTTGCCCATGAGTAAAAACCGGTCTTGGAAGATACAAACCAACCTTTTCGAGTGTCTGTCCTTGGCTTTTGTTTATAGTCATTGCAAAAGCTAATGTGATAGGAAACTGCTTGCGTCTCATCCTGAAAGGAAGTTTCATCTCCGAAGGAGAGAGGAGTATCCTAGGAATCAGTACCTTTTCACCAACCTTGCTACCTGTTATTATCTGAGCCTGGAGAACATAATTAGCCATCTTGATAATGATGAGTCTTGTGCCATTACACAACCTATTCTTAGGGTCGATATTTCTTAGAAGCATTACAGGAGTACCCTCTCTCAACTTCAGGACATGATTAGGGAAACCAGACATCTTGATACTATTTAAAAACTCCTCGGTATAAATCATATTGTTGGAATCACTTTATTCTTACTGGCTACACTCTCTGAGGGTACTTCAGATGCATCATTGTAATTGACAACTTCTTCAGTCGTATCAATGCTATCACAACTAAGATAGGTCCTTTCAACACCTGTTATATACAAAACAACTGTTGTATTATATAAATATAAACAAATAAACTAAGAGGAATTAAAACAAAATAAACATACCCGATAACTTTGAAAGCATATAATCATTTATCATATCTACATCATCGTTTCTTGGACTCAGTATGGCACGGTCTTGGAAAAATTTAGGATCAGTCTCTTTCGAAAACGAACTCCTATAAATTTCTTTGACGATCGTTTTTATAGGATCTTTACATTCTTTAATCAACAGATCATCAGGAATATCAGTCACGGCTTCACCACTTCCATCGTCATTTATCATACCATCACCAATGTCTAAGATCCACTTTGTAAAGGCAGCTTGTTCAAGCATCGCACGGCTATTATCTCCAGCTATAAGTCGCATGTTCTGTGTAAGTCTCAACACTCTACATTTGTACCACAGAGGTGACGAATTCAAAGTGGCCATAAGTATCTCTGTCTTCCCGGCATTTGGAATCACTGGCAATATTTGCCAAAAATCCCCTCCTAAAACAATGACCTTATCACCAAAGGGCTTATCAACTTCTAATATATCACGCATCGTTCTATCTAGGGTCTCGAAACAGTCTTTACTCATCATCAACGCCTCGTCCCATATAATGAGTTTAGCAATCTTTATCAGATCGGCAAGATTCGACTCCTTCTTGATTGAACAGAAGGTAAACTTATTAACCACAATAGGGATTGCAAATCTTGAATGCGCAGTTCCGCCTCCTTCTAATAACAACGCAGCAATCCCGCTCGATGCAACCTTAAAAACAACATCACCTTGGGAACGTAGAGCAGATCCTAATAGACTCCACAAATAAGTTTTACCAGTATCTCCAGAACCATAAACAAAGAACATACCTCCTTTGTTCTTATTTACTGCTTCTAGTATCTCATCATAAACACTTCTCTGTTCACTGGTTACAGTGGCTAACATCTTCTCGTTTCTTACTCTAAGAGTTTCGCGATTGTAATTCCTCTCATCCCGAATAAGAGGATTATCACGTGACTCCAGAGTAATATCTTCAGGAAACGGCATAGGTGTGAATTCTTTTAAGGATCTTCCACTTACACGTAAAAGAAGTTCTATTTCGACCAGAGTAAAGTCTTTAACTTGCTCCTGAGATAGACTAACAGCTACACAATTTCAAAAAAATTACAAAAGATAAATTAGCTATCAATATCTTAAAGATATATAATAACAACAACGCAAACAATAACTATACGACTTACTTTGATCCCTGGCGGCTTTTCTGTAATTATATATGATGTCATCTGATAATACCTGCCATGTAGCATCCCACTCTAGAAGGAATGGATATACTTTGAGTAGTGAGCAGGATCACAAAAAGACGACGGAGATAATTGGCAGAAAGCCACAAGCCGCCCTCATTGATGACCTCAATATATTCTTTGTCATCATTCAATAATCCATACGCATAGCAAGCGTCTTTGAACGAAGAATGTAGAACTTTGTTGACCGTTTTTATATCATCAAAACTATGTGGTCCTTTGACTAAATTAAGCAGAAGCCTTAAATAATACGCTTCACCTGCCCCAATGGATACGTACGTGATTCTACCAAGAGCAACTCTCCTTGATCGTGGCGTCCATATTCTCTTTAGGTTATTCCACACAAATCTCATAGGAAATTGCGCATAAGTTAACGTCCTCGCCAGTTCATACTTATCGTTGCACTCCATCCAAGCAATGAATTTTGACGTACCAACTGAGACACGATTAATAACCTCGTCACCTGGAGCATCCTCGTTGTATATGACCATTTGCTGATTTGGTAAATGAAAGGGTAGTTTAACTACAGAAACCGTGCGATGGTGAGTATGATTACAGAAAATTCTCCACGTAGACTCCGAAGGTGCTGCATACCTACATAGAAAGACATTATTAAATAATGGAAGATTGGAATTTTAAAGATATAAAATATGTGAACAAAATGTTTAAAACATACCTACAATTGAAGTGTTTCTTAATCTCGTTTTCTTTATCATCATTCTTGATAGTTGCACGAATATAGTCAGCACCTTTATGAATATACTTGAATAGATACTTTACTGATCGAGATTGTACACACCATTCGACGTTGATATGAGCCATATAAAGCAGTGTAAGACTCCTATTATAAGGAACCACAAATCCATTATCACATTCAATACCCTTTTTAACGATAACCTTCTTTCATTACGTCGCCTGTATATAGGATATCCAACATCATCTATTTTAGTGATCGGACTGTAAGGTTTTGGAAAATACTTTGTACATTTTCCTTCAGCCATGCAAACACTATCCTTATTCAAAGCACCACATGGTCCATGCATCATGACATCTCCTACTATCTCATACAGCGCTGGATCAATATCCTTGTCAGGAATCTCAGCACATATTATCTTATCAATGTCATCACCAGTTGGTAGCTTGTGACCAGATTCTAAAAAAAGAACGATGTGTGCATGAGGTAGCCCCCGTTTTTGAAACTCAATCGTGTAGATCGTTGCAACGAATAAATGGTAGTTTTTTAAAGATTAGTTAGCATGATCATCTAGCAATGTTATGGACATTATCTTGCTAAACGAAATAAGATACTTAGTTTAATAAAACATACCGGCTTTTACGACACCTAACACATTTTCTTTGGTGAGTCTGTGCATGAGATCATCTAGTTTCATCTTGAACACTCGCGTACATATATCTGGTCTATCCTCTTGCTTCAAGTTATGTCTTTTTAGGTGCCTGGTAATCTCAGGCCATTTGGGATTACACGTAAAGGTTATGAAAAGATCCGGAAAACCAAAATGCTGGCAAGTAGTCATCGCATCTAGATACTGTTGCACCATATACCTTGTACCACCAGTATAAGAAGAAGGTATAATAATACGTTTACCCTTGTCAGAAAGATCAGTGTCACCTTCATCAACAGTTTTCTTTATTTTGTCATAATTTTCGCAACGAATTTTAGACTGATTCATTGATATGAAACGTAGTCTATTAGTCTCAATCATCGTGTACGCATCCACTAAAAACTGCTGGAACAATCTTCCAGATAAAGGGATGATTGGTGACTCACCAACCCTCTCTTGTATGCGGTAAGCAAAAAACTCTCTCATAGTAATATGCAACCTTTTCCTCCCTTCGGTATCTACAATACCAATATCGATACCAAGTCTGAACCCGTCCTCACCATAGGGAAACAATAATGATATTGCAAAGGCAGATACGCAGGATGTAGTTCACTGATCCTTTTGAGATTCCCAGTTTTTTTACACTCGATGATGATATCACGTGCATCTACCTGACCATTGAAATCATCAGGTATCAATGCAGCAACTTCATTAGTAGCTGGTAGGTTCTCAGTCCTTCCATCACTTTTCCTGTCACACTTTAAAATTATCCTTAACCGGCTTGTATCATCGTTAGGATCAAACCTTTCTCGAACGTTTCGTAATGCATCCACATGTTTGTTATGTTTATCTAGCATATTTTTTATTTTCTCAACAACCTTCACTCGCAATTTATCAGCGGGTCCCGTTTTCCTATAAAATTTTTTAAATAAATTCTTATAACAGTTAGAACCACATAACATTTAATAACAATACATATATGTTTTAAAATTGATCTCAATGATTAAATTTAATATAAACCAAAAGAATAATAATCATACCCACAAGCAGCTATTCGGTTAGATGTTTCATTTGCGGTATCATATATATATAGCTGTAAAAAGGCTGGTTCTTTTCCAGGAGGTGGTAGCTACTCCCCTATAGAATGGTAGTTCTCCCCACTCATTTGGAAAATGTAAGGACCTTTCCCGTCGTTGATTTCTTTATTTATTTTTCCTCCAAGAGAAGTGAAAGAAAACATCATATTATACGCCCGGATAAACTCACGAAAGTGATCACGCAAATCACCATCATTATACATCAATGCTAATAAGGATTTCGGAGGGGTTTTAAGAAGTGGAAGAACGACTTCACCCTGACCACAACACATGGAGAATATAGGCTTCCCACGGCGATATCGTTTACCCAACCTCTCTCCATACCACATATAAGCCTTACAATTACCACATATATATATAGGATCACCATCGTCGTAATAACCTAATTAAAATAATATTCATTACTTAGTATTAATTACACAGTAGTTGTATATTATGTATTGAATGAAATATATTAGTACAATGAAAACCATAACCTCCATCTTTCAGATCAGGACTAACTGATTCCAATAAATCTGTTCTAATAACAACGGTCTCTGTTGCATCCTCATCACAAAAATCAGAGGTTTTAGCACGTTTTTTGGGTCTTCCTTTCTTTTTATTACCAGGCCTCGGTTTTCCCACATCATCACTTTCCGACATAGAGTCTTCATCATAATCCATATCGGACTCAGAATCAGTAGCAATAAAGCAAGCAAAGTCTTCGGTGTTGATAGAAGTAGCCAAAAGATCTGTTTGTTTATTTAACGGAAAAAATAATAACTGTAAATCAGGCATATAATTATTAATAAACATTGTAATTACGAAAAAGAAGATCAAACCAATAGCTTCTTTTCTTTCTCTCCTCTCACGCATGCTATGCATTCGTCTCTGCTGTGCATTACGAATTCCCGGGGGTGTTAGATCAGGAACTTCATTGATATTGTAACGGAACAAACCTCCAAGTTGGTCTATATCGGTTACACTGGTAGGAGCATATCGTGCGTTCTTAGCATTACCACCTACAAATTCCAGTTAATAGTAAGCAAATTTATAACACGTAAATGTTTTAAAAATATAATTTACTTAAAATAACACCTTTATTTGGAGCAATCGATGAAGATGAACCTTTTTTCTGGTGAACAGCACGAACAAAAAAAAATGTGTGATCTAAATACACAATCATTAACAAACTATATATATGAAATATTATATTGCGCGATAATGCAAAATATATATTTTAGCTTCTCATAATAAATTAAGATTTTGGTAATAAAAAGAATTTTAAAATAGAAAACCGCACGATAATGTTAACATTACTTATTCTTCGCGATAATATGCCTATCTTCTCTAATGCACCATAATACTCCAATATCGAAAATTTACATTTTTCGTGATAATGTTAAAATACTATTGAAATACTTCTACATTACAATAACGCGGATCTATAAATAATTATTTATTATTCCAAAAATATGCAGAGTTAATCCTAAAAATATACCTCAACATTACAACAAATATATTATCCTAATGTTTTTACGAAAACCGAAAAGACTATCGTTATATTTCTTAGAAATTGAATATTCTCCCAAAAATATGGTTATTTAACATATCATCCAATAAATTATATAACATATTTTTTTTTTCGTGGACAATTATACTACAATTTGTTACGCAGGCGTTTTGGGGATAACTATGAACATCGAAATCCAAACACGAAAACAATAATTAAACAATCTTATTTTCATACACTGCGTCAAAAGTCAAATTTTATTCAAATCACATACGATGTTTAACACAAACCACAAAACCTAAAAATAAAAATTGATATAAAATAATTCTTAAAACATTAGCACGGAACTCGTAACATCAGGGTCTAACGACTGGATATCAACTCTCGAAACTGATAGACCTCGAAGCATGGCGAATTCAGAATAACTTGTGTGCAATCATACGACGTAGTTGCCAAGAAACATCCTGTATTATCGAACAAACGAAAATCAAATCATATTTATCGCATATACTTTACAACCATCTCATATCCAAAATAAAAAATATACCTTGTCGAACAATTATCTTCGCAAAACGAATGATGCAAATAATGACATCTTGTTTACATCCACCCAACTCAAGAAGAAAAGTTTCAGCATAATCACCTTTCAAAAAACATGATAAACGTCGGTTCCTAAAGTTTCCCACCAAACAAATATCAGTCTGAGTTAAACTTAAAAATTCGTTTTTTAAATTCTATTAACATAAAATAGGTTACCTTTCGTTTTCGAGATCGAATCTTATTATAGGCTGTCTAGAGTATCCTAAGGATCCAATTCTATCGTGAGAGTTTCCAACGTTGACAACCTTACCGATTAAATCTGTTTTAAAAAAAAAATGAATATCAAATAATCAATATAGTAATTGCATGACAAATCGGTAATGAAAAATACACAGAATACTCACCCACACAGTAGTTAAAATCAATAGTCCCATTCATAATATCTTCGAAAATAACGAACGAAAAATAACCATTAATATCTAAAGTATAAGAGCTTGCACATGTTGTATCACTGGCAAGTTGGATCATATAAGGATGTGTACTTGGCTTAAATTCACCAGTAAGAGGCAATAGATTAAAATTTATTAGAAGAACCCAATCACCCTCGTTACATATCCTCGAATACTTATCATAAAACTCAATCGGTGCAGTTACATAAATCTTCTGTCCATGAGAAGTATGGAATCAAACATTCAGACATTTATCATTACAAAACCTAAAATATAATCATGAAATTGATGTGTTATACCTTCCAATCCCCCATTATGAAGTCTAACGTGCGGTCACATTCAGGAAATCTTATAAATTTATGTAAGACTTTCAACTTAGTCTTCCATATATGCTTGGTAGGATCGAGTTCGGAAATTCCAAACAGATTTTGATCATATTTTTTATATACGGCGGCGATAGATAGTAAATAAGCCATTTAGGTTAAACGCAAACCTAGAGCCTCAAAACAATTACAACGATTACGTCCAAAGGTAACTTAAATAAACATAGCAGAGACAATACTTAAACCAAACTTTTGTTTCTTATTTATATAATTTAAAATAAAAGGACATATCGAATATTTTACATTTTTGAGATACCTTAATGCTTATTTTACATTTTTAGGATAACATACGACCTTGATAGAAATTTTATTATGGTCACAGGGATACCGTTTCCGATTTGTATTAGGGTTTCCGATTTGTATTAGGGATCTATTATAATATATTATTATAATTATAACAATTTTCCAATTGGTATTAGGAATATATCGGAGGTGAGCCATTTGCATCGTTATATATAAAAATGATGTATTAGCATTACCGAGTTATATATGACGACTACTTTTTAGGTTTTATAGGCACTACATCATGTAGATCGCTGCTTGTCTTTTAGCAATAAAAAACATGACTTACACCAATGTCTCCGATATAACTCCATCAAATCAACTACGCCGTATTCGTGTGAAAATACTGCGTATGTTCGAGCACATCGGTGAACCTGATAACACTTTAGATTTGGTGTTGGTTGATAAAAAGGTATTCCGGTGACTTTCTATTTTTCGTGCATATCACGTTTCTGATATACATATTTTTGTTTTTTTAGGGTGATAAAATACATGGATCAATATCAAAAGGGTTTATAGACAGTTTTACATCAGAAGTGAAGCAAGGAGATTCAATTATTTTGTACCGTTTTGGTGTAGTCCCTGTCATCGGAGACTTGAGGCCGACGTTGCACAATTATAAAATAATATGGAATTCTCAAACTTATTTTTCAAAGATCCCTTTCTATGATAACAACAACTACCTAAGTATCGTTGAATTTGGTAACATACACAACAATCTTCGAGACCCATTGTTTTTCGTTGGTATGACTTTAGATAAATTAATAAATAATAACAAAAAATTATATGCTATTTTATATCTATAAACTTTCTCAATGACTAACTAATCTTTTTATTAGATATAATTGGACACGTCGCAGTGATTGGGACATTTAGTCACAAATCCTCCAAGAGCCAAAGAAAGTGGGGTAATGTTTACATGGAACTCCGTAACGAATCGTAAGTTATTAAAATATGTTTCTCAATTATAATCACTGTAATTTTCAAAATTAACATTTGTGTTATACGTTTCGTGCAACTGTTCAAATTTGCACATGGTTGGGCAGCGATAACTGCATATGATTGTACTGAAATTTTACTAAACCTTAACCTACCCGAAGTCGAGAGAATGCGGACAACAATCACGGAATCAGACGATGGTGTTATATTAAGTTTTTGAATAGTTTCTTTTTTCGTATGTTTGGTTTTCTTTTTTATTTATGTTTTCATCATTTGACTCAATAAACGATGGTACGATATCAAAATTCTCCTCATATTATTCTTTTCGTATACATTACTTTCTTCAATTTCTAAAATATATGTTTATTATATATATACATATTTTTTTCCTAGTAAAATATTAAAATACTTTTAAATCAACAACGGTATCAATGGACTATGAACACAATTTTGCATTGAAAACAAAAAGTGACACTCTTTGTAAATCAAAAACAATACGCTAAAATGAGAGGCTATGCGAAACAGGTGAAGTTTATGGATATTGAATAATTTATTTATTACAATAAAAATAAAAAATAGCTATGTTGTTCAAGTACACAACCTATAAAAACGGAATAAAAATTTAATATCTCCTACGGATACTGATCTTCATATCCATCATCCAAAGGGGTAAAATCAACTGACAATATTATAAAATCATAAAATAGATGTAAATAGAATACATATACAGGATATAACATCAAAGATGGAATTTACATACCTCATCTTTGCTATTGCCACTTCTGGAGTAGGAGGATCTTCGAGAATATCAGATATGAATCTTTCCGATTCAACTCATCTAATTACATATACATATTCAGTATGCATGTGGAAACAATAAATTTATTAAACTTCTGATTAATTGCCGTATTGAATAGATATTAATAATTAATTTACGTACCTCTCCACCTATTAAAAGAGAAAAATCGCAATACAATAATATGCCTTGAAGACCTATCACGATTCGTCCAAAGTTCTTCAAATTTTATTGCCAAGTTATCCCAAGCAATACATTTCAAGGAATTTCCACTGTATATGTTTACACCAACATATTTTAATGTATCAAGAAACCCAAGTCTGACACCAGATACTCTGAGGATAAGTTGTACTTACCCGAGATCTTCGAGTACAAAACGAATAAGTGGACGTTCTGTGGGTGTATCCGATGTATCGGACATATGAACTCCTCTTTGAAGTTTCTGAACAAAAGTGACAACCCCGAGAAGATCAACTGCAAAATCAAACAACTAAGTTAGAAAAAATTCATTTCTCAGTTAATGAGATAAACCAAGATAATAACATGCATGTAAGATACTTACCAAGATATCGTTCTGTTTGAATCGACGCAAGCAAAATATCTATGAATGGACAGAAAGAGTATATTTCTCTGGAAGACTTCGGATCGGTTTTCGCAGTGATTGTATCCTCGTTGATACGTATATGACAGTCGATTGATGATATACTTGGATGTGGTAATCTGTCGGTAACTGCAAAATTACCAAGAAAATACCACTCTCCTTCGAGCAACACATCCTCGAATTTGTCAAGTATTTCAAATGGCATGGTACACAGGATGCGATTGTCCTACACAGTTTTAGTAAAAAAGAATCAATAAATGATTACATTTCAAAAACATGAACAGGGATAATCTTTTAAAATCTCATAAACTTACAAATTCATCAGCGAGGACTAACATCCGATTAGGGCAACCAATGAGAGTAAAATCATAATAATTTCTAACTACTTGGACACAAATACGTTGCCCGCTGTTTGTCTTCTGAAGTTCAGACACTCTATTACATGGAGACATTCGTTGTTTTTATTTAGTTTGGAGATGAAAAATGACAAAAATGAACGTTTCTTTTTATAAGACGGAGACAATGAACGGTTATGTTTTAAAACGCGTGTTTAAAATACTTTAGAAATGACGGTTATGCTTTTAAAGGCGGGTTTTATATACTTAAGCAACGATTCGTCAAAACTAACAAAATTAAATGAAAATTTCTAACTAAAATTAACTATTTTTTATAACTAAAAAAATACGATAAATATATATAAGATCCATTTTTACATAAAAGTTTATTTTATTATTTTATGATAAGGTAAATTTCCCTTCGGAGTTACAACGGATAAAATGATGGTATATTCGTTGGAAATATTCCAAAAATAAATTTATATTGAACATTTAAGGAATAATGTCAAATTTTACTATTAAAATTCTGTAATATATATATATATGTATATAAGCTAGGGTTGATCCGTGAGTCGAAAGAAAAAAAAAACATCAATTCATAAACATTATAAATATAACATAATTCCAATGTTTTACTCTTTTCTTATGACGGTAAACTATAGGAGACTTTCAGATAAAAAATACAATATTAAAATAAACCCTAGTAATTTATTAATTATAACGAAAACATTTTAGTAATCGTAATATGCCATATAAAATATAAAATTAAATAAAAAACAAAAATAAATAACTTAAAATCCCAATGCTTAACTTATGAAATTTATAAATTGGCTAGTCCCATCGCTTGACATGCATCCTTGAAGGTAAGATATACGATACCAGCAACAGTCCTAATATCCTCATAAGAACATGGGCCTTTTATAACAGCCAACAAAATCCTGAGATAATAAGCCTCGTCAGATCCATCCGAACACTGACTCCAGGATCACCAATGACACGTCGTCTCCATAACTTTTGCTTACGATCCCAAACAAATTGACTTGGAATTTCTGAATACGTAAGCATCCTAGCTTCCGGGTATTCTTTGTTGCAGTTCATCCAAGCCGTGAATTTAGATGTTCGATTAGAACCAAGATTTTCGCCTTCATCAGTCATCACAATCTCAGATTCAGGAAGATGGAAAGGCAACACGTTTAGACGAACACTTCCACGTGTATTTGCACCTACGAAACATAATTAGATCTAAGTTACAAACCAATATAAATATGAAAGCAGAACTTAATAAACACAAAACGATATCAAGTTGGATGTATAGTATACGATATCAAGTTGGATGTATAGTATACGATATCAAGTTGGATGTATAGTACATATCGCACCTGATGAGTTCATTATAGAGGTATAAAGAAAAAGTACGCAGCAAAGAATAGAATAAACGACGATATGACACTACATCTATATATAACCGAGTATTCTAGGGTTTTATTATTATTTTGGCATTTTTTTTATTGGAAATTTGACATTTTTGTTTTATTTCATAAATATTTGACATTTTTATTTTATTTCATAAATATACGCACACGTAAATACAACAGAATAAATTTTCTCTAGAATCTTTGAGAATCATTAAAACTGAATATATAATTCATTTGCTACATATACTGGATATTTATTCATACAAATATTATGATCGTAATATATATATATATATATTTATATATATATATATATATATATATATATCATGATATTTATTTAACTATATTGTGATATATATATATATATTTTATTAATTTTGATAATTATAACAAAAAAAAAGACAAACGGAGTTTAGATTTATATGAATCGGGTCGCAATAAAATCAGTTTTCAGAGTCAATCCAAGAGAATAATAAATGAATTATCGACATAATATCAAAATCACAAACGAATTATCGACATATATAGATTTATGTGTTCAAGGATAAACCTAAATCCCAAAACAACGCTTTAAAATGTCTATTGATTATAACCCCAATATCATATCTAAGAGAATAATAAACGAACTATCGACATACTATCAAACTTGATAAGCATAATAAAAAAAATGCGATAAAAAATGATTTACAGAAAGGATGTGAATATGCGATACACGCGATGATTGTAAACATAAAATTGAATAGAAATAAATCATTTTTAGAAAAGAAAGAACAACTCTTTCAAATTGAACTCTTTCAAATTGAATAAAAATTAAGTAAGCATAAAATCTAAATCATTAATATTCTCAATAAAAAAGGTTCTACCAAAACTCGAAACATAAAATTTAAGATAATATAATTGCGAACTCATTATCACTAAACATCCTATGACATAGATTTCTTCTTCCTTCTAGATCCAGATGTTTTGACAGGAGTAGGAATGACGTCAGGATCCTCACGATCTCTTTTAGAACTCACAGGAGCTGTCTTCTCGAGAGTAACATTTGTATTTAGTTTAGCAATGTCATTAGGAGCATCACAGTCACTTTTAGAAGATGCAGGTACAATCTTCTCGATAGAAACTTCTGCATTTACATCAACGCTGACATGAGGATCATCACAATCACTTTTAGAACAGGCAGGCAGAGTTTTCTCAACATGTGATCCTCTATCTTCATCGACGAAGGTTTCCAAAAACGGAGGCTTAAAAAAAAAATATCATATCAAATAAATAATCCATTACAAGAAAACAATCGTTTTCCAATGGTCCATTACGACGGTTTTCAAATCGTCGCAAGTTTACAACGATTTTACGACGATCTTACGTCTAATTTTAAAACCGTCGTAACACCGTCGTATAAAAAAATCGTCGTAAACTCGATGTAACATTACGACGAATTACGACGATTATACATCGATAACGAGAGATTTGCTAGTAAATGTAAAATCGTCGTAAATTCGATGTAACATTACGACGAATATACGACGACTGCATTTCGATGTACATATTACGACGATTTTACGTCGAAAAGAAGTTAGGTGGAAAACATTTAAAACATGTTTACCTAACAATTGCAGGGGATAGATTTTATCGCATAATCGTCGTAAACTCGTCGTAATATTATTTTTGAATGTAAATTCGTCGTAAAAGCGTTGTAAAGCCTGAAATTTTCCTATAAATAGATCTTCATTCCTTCTTTCAATCACAACACATCATCATTCAAACATAAGAGCATCTTCATCTTTGAGACCCATTGTAGGTCTCTTAAATTTTAGTATAGTGTTGTAAATCCTTATATATTGGGTTGTCCATTGCTGGAAACCCGAATTAAGAGTTATATTACTTTGAAAAAAAGAAGTAATAATATTATTATAAGGTTAATTTACTCCATTCATGTGGCTAGATCGTGACACAATTGTCTAATCAATAAAAAGAGATAGTATTTTGAGTTTATTTTCAAGATGTCTATATACGAGCTAAGAAGTTGGATGTATATGCGTAAAGATTCAGACGGGGCGTTGACAGAAGAGTTCAAGAACGGGTTTGAAATATTTATTTTTCAGGCTACAAATATGGAGAGAACGAAAGATAGTGGGAAGATGTTTTGTCCTTGTTTGAAATGCAAGAATACGAGGTATACACTAACCAAAACCGTGTGGACGCATTTATTAAATAGAGGGTTTATGCCGCAATATTTTGTTTGGTATCTACATGGAAAAGGATATGGCAGTAATACTCATGGGAATGCTGGTAGTAGTAGTAATTATCAAAGTCATGTTGATATTGATGAATCGAATTATGGTCATCAGCCTAATCAGTATCAATATGATCAAAGTGTAGATCATGATAGGATGCACGAAATGGTGACTGATGCATTTCATGAAACGCATACTGGTAATGCTGTTGAGGAACCTAATGTAGATGCCAAACGATTTTATGATTTGTTAGACAATGCTAATCAGCCAATCTACGAAGGATGTAGAGAAGGCTTGTCTAAATTATCGTTGGCAGCTAGGATGATGTCAATTAAAACAGATCATAACCTGGCTGAGGTTTGCATAGATGATTGGGCTGATCTTCTGAAGGAGTATCTACCGGAGGATAACTTGGCAGCGGGAACATACTATGAAATTCAGAAGTTGATTTTTAGTCTTGGTCTACCTTCTGAGATGATAGATGTATGTGTTGACAACTGTATGATTTTTTGGAAAGATGATAATCAGCTGGAGGAATGTCGATTTTGCCAAAAACCAAGATACAGGCCGCAAACTGGTGGGCGTAAAAGGATACCGTACCAACGTATGTGGTATCTCCCTATAACTGATAGGTTAAAACGGCTTTATCAATCTGAAAGGACAGCTGCATCAATGAGATGGCATGCAGAACATACACAAGTAGATGGAGAAGTTGTTCATCCATCAGATGCAAAGACATGGAAACACTTCAATATGGTATACCCAGATTTTGCTAAGTTCAAACAGAATGTCTATCTTTAGTCCGTTTGGTATGTCTGGTAGACAATATTCATTATGGCCAGTAATCCTAACTCCTTATAACCTTCCTCCAGATTTGTGCATGCAAAGGGAATTTCTTTTCCTAAGTATTTTGGTTCCAGGTCCAAATCATCCGAAGCGAGCTCTCGATGTATTTCTGCAGCCACTCATACATGAGTTGAATCAGTTATGGTATACTGGCGTTCGTACATATGACTGTTCTACGAGGAAAAATTTTACTATGCGGGCTGTGCTTATGTGGACAATAAGCGATTTCCCCGCTTATGGTATGCTATCAGGATGGACTACACATGGGAGGCTATCTTGTCCTTATTGTCTTCATCGAACTGATGCGTTTCAGCTAAAACATGGTAGAAAAACTTGTTGGTTTGATTGTCACCGGAAGTTTTACCGGATAAC